TTTGGGTGGTAAGAGTCATTTGTATCATGCGAGGACTCGTTGCATGCAGGTCATACATTGGGTATGTCTGGGTCAATTCTGGATAAGTAGGAGTTTAACCTGCTACAGTATCCAGAACGAAGTTGCGCTATGGTCACTCCCATCTCTGGCGGCAACTCGAGCTCTTCGTCTGCAATGGGTGGTGGTTTGACTCCAAGAACGCCATTCACGGGGAGGGAGTCGGTGAAGGTGTTGATGGCCCCACTATGAATGGCGGTCAGTACTTGTCGAAAGTCAGTTGGGTCCGAAGCAGATGGGTGCAACTGTTTGGAGAAGAGTTCATTATGCTCCTTTACAGGAAGCATAAGCGTCTCACTGTGGAGGTGTTCTATGGGAGACATAACAAGAAATCCCGTCGTTGTCCGGAGTGCAGTATTCTGGCAGGTTTGAAATTTCTTCATCTACTATCCACTGCATCCAAGCGACCATATTGGTGCTGTGTAGTTAAGGACTGGCCGGCCGATTGCCTTATAAGTTGCCAACAACGTTTCTTTGTCTTTTCCCCATGTGCTGCCGGCTAGCAACTTGAGGATTTTGTTGCGGCTCTGTACATTGGCGATAATCGCATTCGTATGTCGAGAGAAGGAGCATAGAAAACGAGAAAGGTCGGAGAGGTAGTTGTTTACCTTCGAACACATGCCACCGATTCCATTGCCCGACGTCAATATCGTACAATCATCAGCGTACGAGGTTATGGAAACCCCCTCTGGTGGTTGTGGGAGTTTCGAGATGTAGTAGTTAAACAGTAGGGCGGGAGGACACCACCCTGCGGAACCCTCTGTTTAATTCTTCTCATTTTAGATGTTTCCTCCACCTCTTTAGCCCTGGAGGAAGCGTAGTTTTTTCGATGTCCTGCAGTAGAGTTGTGTGGTTGACTGTGTCTAAAGCTTTTGACAAGTCCAACGCTACGAGGGTCGTTCTCTCACAGGGTGGTTCTGGCTAAGTGCTGTGGTGGTGCTGTGCACTTTTCGGAAACCATGCTGGTGACTGGCTAGGCTCAGGTGGTGAGTGAAAGTTGGGAGTACCAAGGCCTCAAGCGTCTTCATTACTGGGAAGAGGAGAGTTATTGGGCGATAAGATTCCCCTTTGTTGGCGGGTTTCCCAGGTTTCAGTAGTGGGACCACTCTTCCGATTTTCCACACATCGTGTATTTGAAGAGTGGTCAGTGACAGGTTGAGGATCTTGGTGAGGTAACTTATTCCCGTTGAGCCCAGGTGCTTTAGCATTAGCATGTTGATTCTATCAGGGCCAATGGATTTGGATAATTTTGTTTTTTTGATGACACTTTGAACCTCTTCATCGGTGAAAGTAWTCGGCGCGCAGTTGTTTGGCTTTTGCGCAGCCGTCGGTTAACACATCTCTTGGCTTTGTCTACCGAAGGTTGCAGTGTGAACTACCGGCTAAAATAGCTCGCGCACTTCTTCGAGTCCGAAGAGGCATTATCATTAGATTGAACTTCAACTCGGTCGTCATGTCTCTTCGGATTAGACAAAGCTTTGACAGTAGCCCAAAGCTTACTCACACCGGTGGAGAGGTTGCAGGACTTCAGGTGATCTATCCATTTTGCCCGAGGATGGTGATAAACCATACGCCGAATCTCCGAATTGAGAGCCCTTATTCGGGGATCCCCGGGATCGGCATGGCGTCTCGCGCTCGTTAGCTGGGCTGCTTCGGTTTGGAAATTGGGACGGATTTCCGCTATTCTTCCAGCCGGGATGAAGCGAGCGGTAGCTGCAGYGATCACCTTGCGGATTTGACATTCGCCAACGCATACGTCATGGGAATAGGTAGARCGTTGAAGGTGCTCTCGGTAAATTCTGTGAAGCCGACCCAATTAGCTGTTTTAGAGTTATGTAGGTGCGGTTGTCCACAGAAACGAAATCGGGAGGCTTCTTGATCGAGATAATTATGGGCAGATTGTCTGATGCGAGAGTTAGTATCGGTCGCCAGGTTATGCTATTTATCAGACCACCACTAACAATGGTAATATCAGGCGAGCTATTACTGGTGCCCATAATTCTGGTGAGGCCTTCGTCATTCATTGTGCAGAATGCCGAATCGTCAATCTGTTCCACCAGCTCCATCCCCCTGCGCTCATTTGACAGGCGGGAATGCCAAAGATCATCGTGCGCGTTAAAGTCGCTTAGTACCAGACGGTTCACACCACGAAGTAGCGCACCTATATTCGGGTGATATCCTGTAGGGCAACATGTAAGTGGGGGGATGTGTATATTAAATATTTCGAGCTCGACAAGAATGAAGCTATGTTGCTTGTGTGAGCTCCTGACCGTGGAGGTCATCTGTTGGCCACTCGGGCTGAGTGGCGGCGCGCGAACTGTGCAGATTGCATAGCCATAGAGGCTTGAGTCGTAGTATTGCGCAGGCAACATGAGGCCACGTAACGCGTGGTCCACTCCCTATGAGTCTTAAGGCCTGGACAGGTCTTAAGGCCTGGACAGGTCTTAAGATGGCTCAATCCGTTGCATGTATTGCACCTGACCGAGGTGCAGTTTGGATGGAGCCTTTTTGCGCATACGCAGCAGAAAAATTCCTCTGGGCCCGAGTTGGACTCAATGCCAGCACGAGTCAAGAGGATGCGGAGCAGCCCTGCTGCAAGGCGTTGCTCTAGTGACGATAAACACAAATTAGTACTCAGCGATCCAAACGGGGTTAAATCGCCGAAAAAACAGCCCTTGGTCGGTTGAAATCCGAATCAATTCCGGTATGCCGTAGGAACTCCGCTGATAGCCTTTCTGTACTGCTTTACGGTGTCTGCGTACATTTGCTAGTCATGCACGCAGTACAACAAATTTCTTGGAGTCCTCTAACCTTCATTCCGCGAACAATTTGCTTCTCATTCAATAATCGTAGGCTGGCAAAATTAATGTGATCATAGCGCGAATGTAACTTCATAGCATCATCAATTGATTTCCTTGAAAAAACAATGTGTTTTTATTTCTCTGTAGAATAAACAGATCCTTATTTGAACGTAAAACTACTTGTTGAATTCTGCAATGTATGCACTGTTGACTGCCTTTGCAACCGTAACGAAGTGTGCAATGCCACATACCCTGATACATACAACACTTCAAAAAATGTAACGTCACACATGTTCGACTTCAAATACACAACTCCTCTGCCAGTAGCTGAAATTTGTTGTTACCCGCTAGTATGATCGCTTGTAAATATTCTTCGAACTCGCGTAACATATTTCGATCGCAGCATAAATGAGGCGCCGCTGTCGACGCACCAAAAACCTGCATGTAACTGTTTCAATCCGACTGTTGTTGTTGTCACTCTTCTGATTGTTGTTTAGTTGTTGTTTTTCTCTACTCTGAGCAACGAAATACCCCTTTTTACAGCAACTTAAACATTTAAAATTTTTCCGTTATATACCGTTCCATAAACACTTACACGTTACCGTCGGTGTGTTCCGAACTGGTACACTTTCGACGATCACCTTCTTCGATCAACTTTATCTTTATTTCTATACCGCAAAAAGAACCGCTACAAAATGTAATCAAATATGCCCAATACTTGTAAATTTTGAGTGGTAAGGTTTGCATGGCCACGATTAACATTTATATCATATTCATATATATTCATCAAAAAATCTAATAAACTCCAATTTACGTTGGGTAACACCGTTAGCATTCCATATACAAATGATCAGTACATTCAATATGTACTTAGAAACTTTGCAACAATTTGTTTTGTGATTTGATTATCTCTTGAATTATATTTTGAATTGTAGACATAAATTGTTGCATACATTGGGTTCAACACTTCCATTTTTTTTTTGTTTTGAGGCAATAGCATTTGCCCAATGTTGCCGTTCACCACATTTGCAAAGCTAACTTGTGTAGCCCTATTTTTAATAGTGCCCGGTTTAGAATCATTTGATTACTTGTTTTTTAAGTCTTTATATACAGGGCAACCCCTATAGTTTGCAGTGTTATTTCACCTACAATTACTACATTTTTTATTTAAATCCTCTTTCTTGAGGGTACATTTTGATCTTTGATGTAAATCACCACACACCACGTAGACACTGCGTAGGATGCAATATTATTTCGTGTGTCCATACTCTTGACAGTTTATTCATTGTACTGGACCGTTTCTTTTTTGTGGTTCCTCAGCGATAACTCTGCGATGGAATTGAAATTTTAGGTTGCAAATGGGATGTGTTTCGTTTTTCTTAAATTGACTAGAATTTGGCATCAATTATATTTTGAACATTGGTTGTGGGACTTTGTTCCTGTTAAAAATGTTTACCACTGATTTAATACTGCAACCATCTTCTTCCAATGCTTCTTTAACATAGTTAGAGTCTACMGAAGACTCTATATTTTTAATGACAACATCTAGGCCTTTYGAGCTCTTCAGTTAGTAAGAGTAGTAATTCTTGTTATTGTTTGACAATTACTTTACAACATCCATGACATCCAATTATTGTTTAATTTTGAGACAAGCGTATTTGAGCTCCGCTCAAGATAGTAGGTGGTACCCTTTGCATCGTCCTTAGGTTGTTTACTCAGTCAGGTAAATCTGTTGCCATTTAGGATTTTTAGCTTTTTATTATTTGGCGTGCCTGGTTGAAACTTTTTGATGTTGACCGCTGATTTAACTGGACATAATTTCCTTTTTACGTTGCGTTGATGTAGCGGTCAATACCAGTCTGAACAAACGGTGCTTTTTCTCTTATACTATGTTCGGACCGACAACGACAACATGTTTTCGTGGGAAAAACTGGTTTTCGCAAGAAAACTTGTGTTTTCGTCCATGTAAAATCTGTCAAACGAAAACACAGTTTTCGTTRAAAACTACTTGAAAACTTACATTCCACTCATTATAATCGGTGCCTGCTCTAGTTTAATCGATTTTTTTGTAAGACATATTTTGCCGGCCCTAAATTGTCACTTGATATTTGTTTACATTCCATACAAAAATACAGCTGTCACTTGGTATTAATTTCAAAAATGGAAAAGCAAAAATATAAAAAAAAAGTTGTTGGAGTGATAGGGCAGAAGCCCTACTAATTGAATTTTGGCAGACCAAAATAAGTGCTTTTCGCGGTCCTAGAAAATACAACCACACAGTGGAGGAAATGGCAATGGAGTTGCAGCAACAAGGTGTGCATTTCGCAGCGGCAGAAATTAAATCGAAAATGCACCTTTCATAGAGATATAGGTATGTACTTAAATAAAATTAAGGAGAAATAGAGTTTTTACATATATATCATGTTTTACAGGAAAGAGAAGACAGCAGTCGGGTCAACAGGCGGTTCTCCCTCGCAGTGGCCACTTTATGATAAAATGAGAGCCGTACTGTTGCCGTACATCAGCTACAACGCCGAGAGCTTAATGGAGGAAAGTTTTCAAAGTAAGAAACATTTGTTTGTAATTCAATATATTATTTATATTTACACACATATATACATTTTTAAAAAGGTTCTACTAACTCCGAACCACTCCAAATTTCTGTGGAAACGGCTGCGTCTTGTACATTTGTTGCTGCATCTCCATTGTYATCACCGGTATGCCTACCATCGCCCTCAGCGATGCCTATGTCGCCAACCGATACTTCTTCGCTGCCAGTRCCGTCTCCCGAGCCGAGTGATTCTGGTAATAAAAGAAGGAATAATTTTCAGAGCATTATATTAAAAAAAATTAAAAAAATTGCAAAACAGCTCGAGAAAGTAAGTCAAGAATCCATTGTGTTATATGGTGCACTCACCTTTCTTTCACTTCACCAAAAACAATCTATAGCGGAAAAAAGCTGATCTTTCGTTGCGGATGGTTTTATTTACAAAAAAATGGAAAATTRCGCCAACACAGTTTATTTAAAAGTATTGCACCAACACAGTTTCTTTGAAAAAATGAAAAAATTGTAGCTACACGGTTTTTGCGGTGCGGTTAACTCCGTTATAACGCGGTTGGTTTCCCAAGAGGATGGCGGCGGATAAAAGGAAACTGGATTTACAAAAGTCTGACCGATCGCTGATAATGTCGTAGAACGAACTGAGCTTGGGGCTAGTAATCGGTCCTTCTTTATCCCCGTTGGTGCTGAATAGAATGGTGTGACTGCTGTGGTTGGTGTACGTGTGTGTAGGTGTCGGTGTGCGCTGCTCTCGTGAGTAGTGTAGAATGTGGGTTCTAAGCATAATGTGGTGAATGTGGCGTGTTAGTGATGTAAGTTTGAGTCGATGTGGTGTGATAATGTGGTGTGTGTGTGTTGAGGTCGGGGGAGGATGCTTATTTGTACATCCTGGCCCCCCTAGGCGAGTATCTAGCCTAGTAGCCTCTGAAGCCGTTGCAGCGTGGCTACCACGTTGCTGAGGCCTGTCGGGCGGCTCGATTGTGACCTGTGCTGGCGTCTCCGGTTCGGCGTGGGAGTGCGCTGACGCCAGGAATGTGACCCCTCTATACGGTATGCCGGTCTGCGCGGTTGCGATCGCGAGGGCCTTTGGATGGCATTACGGCTGCGAGGCACATCACGACGTCCGGCGTCGGGTACAGCGGTGCGGTGTAGTAGGGTATGGTGGTGCCGCATGCATATTTGGCACTGATAGCCCGTTGTGCACTCTTGCGTACGATGGGTGGGCGCCAGACAATTTAAACAATGGCCATGTGCCTGAGCGACCTGCTGGCGTTGCTGAGGGGTCATCCCCTTGAAGATGCCACAGCGTGGCAACCGATGACGACGGCGACATAGGGCGCATTCGAGTAGTGGTGGTTC